TATTTTTTCTTCTTCAATTATTGAGTCCACGACTCACATCGTCAGAGACCGGTCTTCAAGAAATAATGCAGCTGTGCTGGTTCTGTGTTCTGTTGTCCATCCTTCCAATGGCACACTTTTCAGCAAAAATAGTTTTCGCCAATTTCTGTAGTCTACTTTATTGTCCCCGTATTATTATGCGTTCTCATACGCTTCTCTGTGTGTTTTGGTCTCTCTCTCTCTCTCTCTCTCATTCACTGTGTGAGTTCTAGAGCACCCACACATTCGTACTTACCACAGCACAGACACATTTATAGTTACCACAGCACAGACACATTTAAAGTTACCACAGCACCGACACATTCATATTTACCGCAGCACTGACACATTCATATTTACCACAGCACTGATACATTCGTACTTACCACAGCACCGATACATTCGTAGTTACACCATTATCATGTTATTTCTTATTTTATATCCTATCCAGGATCAGTGTCATTTCCTCAGTTCACTGGAATCTGTGGTCTCAGCAACAAAAACGTGGTCTCTGCTATCACATCAATCATCTAATCTCATCTACAACAATAACGACCTGGCCTCTGCTACCATAACAATGAACTTATGTTTGCTTGGGCAACTTGGGGAACAAGGAAGAGATCCACACTTAACTTTCTCGGCCCAGGAATGCTAAAAAAAATATATGACTCATGAGTCAGGACACCGCTGGAATTCTAGAAAAAAAAAAAAAAATCCGTCAAGACATTTTTTTACACAGGTCATTAATAAAATCGTTAAAATGTATTCATATTAAAAAAAAATAATTCTTAATATAGAAAGATATATGAAGGAAGCTATCAATAAACATGAACATTGTGAAGCAGGCTGTACTCCCATGTTATTTATCACTGAGGCTTACTGGAAAATTTAAAATTAACTTGGCTTTATTAAAACTATTTGGTTTTGAGAAAACTCCCTAAATGCTATTTTTTAGTTAATGTATACATTAACAGGAAACTGACCTCAACCAGGAACTGTTGGTTTTGCACCTGTAATAAATTATTAGTCTGAGATGAGAGCTTGTTTTAGTGCTTGTACTTAGCACTTTTAGAATCTGGCTGGACTAAGTGGCTTAGTCTCTAAAGATTTTTTCTTCTTCTTCTTCTTGTTCACCGGCTGTGAATTCCGGCGGTAAGTCGCGGTTGTTCGTCCAAATGGACTTTTGGCTTTTACCTTGACCTGAGTTTTGCATGTACATCCGTTTAACTGGCTTATTTGTTTGCAGTCCTCTTTCCCCGCCTCTCCGGCAGATGTACTCCGACTTGGAGGGAATCTAAGGATTTAAGGCTGCAAGGCTGGTGCAGTCAATACAAACTGTGTAGGTTAGAATTTTTTTTATTTTTGCCCCGATACACACACACCTTCATCCCTTACCAAAAATCAAACGCAGGTCTCCAGCATGAGAACCCAGTGTCCTAACCACTACTCAGAAGAAGGTATCATTCAAAAATCAGGAAACATTTAAAACACACACAAAATGAATGGCAAATTTTATTATACATTTAAAAAAAAAATAAACTGTATAAATCACATTTCTCACTGGGTATTGGTTAGGAGTCTACTAAAAATAAAATTTCCAACATATAAACAGTCCACTGACAATGTAATATCTATAAAGTCTGTTTATAAGGAAATATCTAATATCTACAGATTCTAATGACAAGAAAATATCTAATATCTATAAAGTCTGTTGACAAGGAAATATACTGCTCTAAACAGTGCCCCCGCTGTAATCCTCTAGTCAAGTGGTCTCCAACCTTTTTCAGGTGTTGCACCCGCCCGCCACCCCCTCCCTCTGTATATGACAAGTCGAGAAGGTAGTTAAAGTTGAGGGGATTGACTTCATTGCACTAAGTTTTAATCCCATATGGCTCAGTCCCCCTACGCAGAGCAACTAGCCGCCTGTCGAGAGCATCGCACAAAGCACAAACTCCATAGCTCTGGCAACTATCCCACGGATCTCTGTACAATTACACCCGTGAACTGAACAGCGCCGTTGTGAAATGAACCCACGTCCTTCAGCGCATGAGGCAAATGCTTAACCACTTCACCATGGAGACCCCTGAGAGAGTGTATATAAGTATATGACAAGATCCCCATACACATTCCCCCCCCCCCCCCCCCCCCCCCCCCCCCCCCCCCCCCCCCCCCCAACATAACAAAATATGATTAAACAGAGGAGGACAAGATAAAAAAAAAGGACCACCCCAAGCACTGTTAACAAGAATATGGGAGAAACATTCACAGAAATCAAGGTGTCCAATAACAAAAGAAACAATCACCAAACATTTGTAATTTAGTGTCCAAATATCAATGTAATGGTTGACACCATTCTGTCTTGATGACATCTGCTATTTTTGGTCTGGACAAGGCACAACCGAGATCACTCTCCATACCAAGCTGGCAGTGCTGTTTGGTTTTTATGACAGTGCAAAAACCCTGATTATTACGAGTACTTATGCCTTTAATTTTAAAATTGCCGACGCCCCCACCCTTTTGAAACTTCCTCACCCCCCCCCCCTCCCTACCCCCCAGGTGAGAGACCACTGCTCTAGTCAAACCATCAATCTTCTGCTTGCCTTTTGTCTTATCAACTCTGACAGCCATGGTGTCTTTAATGTCATCTGTCCACTGTCATGGTGGTCTGCCATGCCTCTTGTTTCAAGAATTATATCTTCCATTACCTCTCTTTCTAAGCCACTATGATATTTAATATGGCCAAATCCTTTGAAGTCGGAGTACATATGCCTGAGAAGCAAAGAACCAAGTCTGCACACAAATATGCCAGATCTGTAAAACAGATTCAAATATTAGAACAAGACCAAAGTCCAGAAGTTGACAGACAGCCAGAACTTATGCCAGAATTTATGGTCGGTGAATGTGAAGAAGAATAAAAGAATATGGAGAAAGTTTTTAGGTAAATATGACGTGGTCTTGTGCCATGGGGCCGCTATGTAGCTAAAAAGGCTATCCAGGGTCACTCAAAACAAAAGAATAAGAGATATAAATGGACTGATCAATCGGCTTTCGACCAAAGCTATAAAGGTTAAAGGTTAAAGTCGAGAGGATCGACTTCATTGCACCAGGTTTGATCCCATTTGGCTCGGTCTCTCTCCGCAGAATGGCTAGCCACCTGCAGAGAACACCACAAGGAGCACAAAGTCTGTAGCTCCAGGGATCTCCGTAAAAGGTGCACTTGTGAACTGAACAGCCCAGCTGTAAAACGAACCCATGACCTTGAGAGCGCGAGGCAAACGGCTTGACCACTTTATATTTCCTCTGACACACACAACGATACAAAAGGAAGTACAGAAGAGGAAAAATAAAAAAGCATTTCAGTTTCCAGAAAATTATTATGGCAAGACAATTTTCTTGTATATTCAAATATTGTAGAATGTCAATATTTTTCTTCTTCCTGATCTAGAACATTCTATAAAATAATTACTGAACAATTATCCAATGCTTGTGACACATATAATAACCTCGTATGATTATACATATTAACAATAGTAAGACTGTATCACAAAGGATACAACTGTCTGATGCCAAGGATATTTTGTGACCTATCCAAAGGAATCTCTAATGATGATCTGCAAGTTTAGATTAAACCAATATTTTATTAAAGTTTTTAAATGTCAGTGAACTGTAAAAGATGAACTCTATTATTTATCACAATTACCTTTAAAACGTTATCAAATTATTTATCGCAATTACCTTTAAAACATTATCAAATTATTTATCACAATTACCTTTAAAACATGATTAAATTATTTATCGCAAAAATAACTTTACATAGACATACTAATATTTTGGACATAATTCTGAACATTCTTTCCCATTCGAGGCAGGAGCCAGTTTTCCGAACCCAAAAAACAGATTTACAGCTGCTTAACAAGCAAGCTGTAACAGGCAACTAATTGGGGTGTGGCTGATTTCATATTTTGAGGTAAAAGAAGATCGCAGCCTAGCTGCAAACCCCTATTTTAAGGGCCAATGCAAAAACGAAGAATGAACATTCTAAACATTATCATCAAGTGCCATGCTGATACATGCTGTGAGATTAGATTACCATCTTGCAAAATCACCAGTCTCAAATGAGATCTGTATTTTTGGCCTATAGGTGGTTGGGCCAAGCCATCCAGGCACTGATCTCTTTGCCTTCCTCTTGTTTATTTTCCATTAGCATTTCACAAATGCAGAAATGTTGCAGAACTTCAAACGGCACAAATCTTACAAAGGTTTCTGAGCTTCGAGAGAAAAAGGAGAGTTATTCAATACATGATGATGTTTATTCAGTTCCAAGTAGGAAATGAAGTAAATCTCTCTGCCAACCTCAGTTCGAAATATGCACAACCTTGTATGGGTTCTGGTCACCTTAAAGATCAATGCACTTATTTAAAAACCTACTGGTAACCAGGGGATGCACAATCAGTTCATTCTGTATACACAAATGAACAGAAGTTTTCATTATAGTTTTGCATTGAGAACTGGCATCTTTGCTCTAGATATATTTGCAGTAAGTATCCAGTTTTTAAATCAATACAACACAAAAGATTATAACAGAGATTTGCTCCTATAAAGTTTACAATTTTCTCACAGTTTGAAATGTGTATACAGTCAACCTTAATTCATTCAACAGCAACATATGAGATGTATTAGATAAGAATGCTCTGGTACCAACTGTCATGCTGAAGAAATATACCAAACACAGAACAAGAGGAAGACCATGCAAAAACAGAATGACGGCACCAAGAACAGCCTTGAAACAAATTTATTATATAACACATTAGAAAGAACACAGAAAATCTTTACACCCCCTACCCCCAGTAATTCAATGAGGTATTTGAAGGAAGAAGAAGAAGAAGACTAAACACAAAGAAGTAATATATGCAGTGCAATCTAATTCTACTCTGACTCCAATATGTTGTAAAATCTATTCCTGTCCAAACTCTAAAAGAAAACTAGCTCTTGAGTTCACTGTCTCCCCCTACAACAGTTATCTCCCCATGGTTGACAGTTATAAAAGATTCTGGATCCATTCCTCGTTTCTGCAGCTCTTCTTTGACACTTTCCTTTGGTTCCAAGTAAAACTGAGGGATAGTAGAAATAAGTAAAACTGTGAGAAATTGTTAATATATTAATTATATATAAATGTTACATAATTTGGCGAAATGAATTTCTTCAGTTTCAAGCAACACACTGTGCATTTATTTACCTCATTAATGGTATACAAATCTTAACTTCTTAAATGGAAAGGGGGGAGGTGTCTCCAAGGTGACAGGGTCATGCAGTTTGCCCTACACTCTGAAGGTCAAAGGTCTGTTTTATGGCTGCAGGTCATTTTAGTTCATGAGTGCAGTTTTAAAGAGATCCCTGGGGGGATTGTCACCAGAGCTAAGGAGTCCATGCTTTGTGCACTGCTATTAGTAAGTGGCTAGCTGTTCTACCAGCAAAGACCGAGCCATACTGGATAAACCTGTGCAATTAAGTTGATCTTCTTGACTCTGATTTCAACTTTCTAACTTTAACTTTATACTTCTCATTCTCTGTTACTGTTATCCCTCTGACTCCAGTTTATTCCTAAACACGTTCAGTCTCAAATGTGCATTATGTTAATTGATTAACAGCTGACAAATTCAAAAATCAGTGCCTGTGGCTTCAGTGTTACAAACATGCTTCATCATCTTCATCATCATCACAAACCACAGGAATAATTTGCGATCCAGTGCACGTTGGCTGCCACTGGCTATTGTCATGCCATGAAGGCGCAGATTGTCTTTAATGTTGTCGATGCATATTTCCACGGCAGTCCTCTTGCTCTTGTAGCTGATCTTCTGAGATGTAGTGCTTGTGATGGTATTTGATCTTGCTGCATTCTAACAAGATGGCCAAACCACTTAATCTGCTGTTTCTCGATGAATCTAGTACAAGGTGTCGTTCCCACAATTTGCCCGATAGTTTCATTATTCACTTGATCTTGGATGGTTAGGTTGGCTGCTTTTCTCAGGCACTTCATCTCGCAGGTGGTGATTTTGCGTATATGGGCTTTAGATAGTGTCCATGTTTGGCACTGGTAGCTTAATGTTGGAATGAATATTAACATGCTTCATAATTCCATAATATCCCATTCAATTCCAGCTGCAGGCAATATGACAATGATTTTGACAATGGTATGAGGGGCTGACCATTCAGAAACAATGAAAAACTGCTGAACATAAAACTTCCAGATGCAACATACACATATTATACATTAAAGTGATCAGGCAATGTTATGGAATAATATGAGAATACTTCTTTAATAAATGAATAATAAAATATTAGCAGACAGACAGATGCCATATTTAACTCTTTGAGTCCCAGGGAACGCATCACACGCTAATTTGTTACAACTGAGAGGCCCAATCTATGCGTGACAAGTAAAGGTTTTTAATCTACCACTGACCGGTTATAAAACGCGGACTGCTAAATGTTAGCTTCCTTTATTTCACCAAGTTCTTTGTGTCTGATATCTGGTGTGCTAATTTAGAAACGTGGTTTGAATGCCCAAAATATAGTATATTTGCGGAATTTGCAGAGTTACTAAGCGTTTGTTTGAAAAGAATAAGGCCGCCAAGCAGTATTCTACATGCACGCCAACATGATTTACGACTTTAGAAGCATCAAATTTAAATAATGTACGTGTTTATTTGATTTATTTGAAGTTAGATAGATAATGTTGCAAATTAGATGTATTTCAGTCATTTATAGAGTCAAACTTTGATGAGGGATATGTCTAATGTGTACCTCACAGGAAGGGTACAAGGATAACAAAGTTAGCTGGCACAAATAGAATAAACATTAGTGAAAAGACAATTTTCTTCAGTGTCAGTTAGTTCTAGTGCTATTCCCCTTATTATTTAGGAACATAGCTACACAATTACAGACAAATTCAGTGTTTTATAAACATTGTTTTGTGTGAAGACACTTATTGTTTTGGGAGTCCGTTTTCTTTACCAAATAATGGTGCTCTGTTATGATGCTTCAAAATATTCTTTGGAACAATATCTAATTATAGATTGAGTTTATATTTTTCTTATACATTACTAAGTGGTTCATATTCATTTGTGATTTATTTTGGATATATTTTAACCAGTTTTCCTTGAGTGCCGTGGGGATAAGTGGAAATTTGTTTATTTCATTTTACTAATTTTTGTAAACATATCTATTTATTTACTAATATTTAATTACTGGCGCAATTATTTGTTGTAGCTGTAGTCTATAATTATTCCTCAACAATCCCTGGTCACTTTGATGTACAATATCTGTATTTTGCACGGAAATTGAATTAGTATGGTCTGTTTGAATGATTGACACTTGTGAAATTATAAAATTGCATTACCACCTTTAGGGCCTCTGATGCTAAACCCCCTGGGACTCAACGAGTTAAAGAAGTTAGTCAAGTCAAATGATATTTTTCACTTACCTACTTTTACCATTCACTGTAGTTCCCATCCCCATGTGGTTTTGAAATGACTTGGTAATATATTTATAAAAATGTAAAGGTCGAAGCTGAAGTTATTTAATTTACTTCTTGAGATCAGCTTGAATTTTGTCACCCTTGTCTTTGACACCATGAACAGAAAATTTGGAAGCAAACAGACTGATGCAAATATCAAGATAAACAAGATACAAACCTCATAAGATAAAGCAAATGTCCCCCAGTGAATGCCAATAGATTTCTGTGATAAAATATCATTGTGAACATCAACAGCTTGAGCCGGGTCTACGTGTTGGGGAGCTAAAAATGATCTGAGTGGAACAGGAATACATGAGGCCATTACATAAAACATCTTGCTATATGTTAAAAATGACGTCACATTATTTCTATACTGTCTAAAACCATCACTACTCCTAGCATTTACCACTTTTTTGAGGTGCTGTGATTTTGATTCTTAATTAAACATTCAACAACATTCAACATTTGTAACAACTTCTGTAATAAAACAGTTAAGTAAGAAATGTAAGTACAGTATAAGAACCTCGTCATGCCAGTGGCACATTAGACATACTATACTAAACTCATATTTTTATAAACCAATTGGCACTAGGTGGGTAATAAAATCAGCATCACACCGGCCATCTTTAATTCCCAGAAACATTACTTGGCATCTATTTTAGAGGGGGTTGACCTAGAAGCCAAAGTCATTTGTTTGAAGAAAAAAAAAGTTAAAAAAAATAAACTTAATGTGAATTTGAATCAAAGACCTTCAGGTTGACATATTGTTACTATGCCACCATGGCTGCCACAGAAGAGATACATGTAGAATAATGTAAATTCACTGGTCTATCAAAATAATTCTATACTTTATTATTTTTTGTTTAATGTCCGAATTCTGTTTGTTGTGCTAGTTGTCGCGAGTTGCTAAACATTTAGCATCCAAGCCAGGGCACGCTCAGTTTCCCCGTATGATATGAAGCTGTAAAGTCACAAGGTATCAGTGACTCATTTGGCCCATCTTCTTCTTGGTTATCCTCTACCTCTTAGTAGTTTTTGTTTAAATTTTTTTATGCTGTACTCACTCATTGGATTCAATCTCATTAAATGGCCAAACCATTTGAGACTATATCATTCTAAATAAAAAACAAGAAAACCAAACAAAGAAACCTACACTTACCTGGGATGGTATGCTCCGATGGGTATTGTTGACAAAGTGAACGGCCCATAGCGTTTTCCAATCTGTTTAAATCCAGGACAGTAGCCAGTGTCCCCAGCAAAATAAAACCGATGTTTTGGGCCCACGACACACCAGCTAGTCCACAATACCTTCGTAGTTAATGAAAAAAAAAAGTTTACAATAGGTCAGCGACCCAGTTTCACCTGTAGAGTAGTTTGCATTCTTCTATAACAGATACTGACTGATTGGTACCTTTCCATCTTTTCTGACAATAGTGTTATATTTTGTGATGAAAGACATGAGAACTATTTGTTCTCCATAGCATAAAGTCTGGGTGGTTTTAGAGAGAACACCTGCCCGATCATTACAATCTCTTCCTCAACCTGCTTTGTTTACTCCAAAGAAAAGGTAACATAAGAGCTTTTAAACGAAACACGCTGCAGATGCAGCCAGATCAGCATCAAGGAATAATGGTTTAAAGTGAAATCATACCAGGTCCCTCCAATAAATCTTCCATAAGGGGTTTTTAGGTAAACTCATTCTAGTTGCCCTCCAAAAAAAATCATAATTAAAGGATTTAAAGTGCACTTATTCCAATTATAGAACAGATAAATGCTATGTCAATCTGCCCACTGTTTTTGAACTGCCAGATTAATGCAGTTTGATGGCAAGACTGTGATGCAAACATGCAACAAACATTCAGCAACAAGTATATGTGTTTATTTTGATGGAAACAAGAGCAATACAAATAAAAATGAAGAGATTAGAAGAGATCAGGAATGAAACCAGCCAAATAATTAATTAAATAGATGAGATGGTTTGGCATCTGATGTTACCAACTGTCAAGTCATAATGAAGAAATATAATGAATACTGAGAAAAGGGCAGACAATGCAAACTATGGAACCTAGTAAAAATAGCCCGAGAAAATAAAGGTCAACATATGTAACCATTAGAAAAAGCACACAGGAAAAACTTATTGAACCCCCTCCCCACAACAACAAAAACAGATAAGCTGAAGAATTTAAAAAAAAAAAAAAACTCCCTGTCTGCGAGTTTGTTGTGTTGTTGATTAAAATGCATATATTTAATACATTCATGTTTAACTGGTCCAGAAAAAAGACAGAATAGAACAAGTTAAAGAAATAAATATCTAATATAAATCCCAACCATCAACGATAAAAGCCATGGTGCTGTAGCAGCCTGATGTCCTAAAAGTCTTTAAAACAGATTTTTTTAAATGACCTCGGCTCCTATGTCTTAAAATGGGTACCAGATAAAGTCCTGGGAAGTAAAAGTGGTTGGCATGACGCTGGGCACATGACCCATCAAGTGCTAATTGGTATATGAAAATATTAGTCTAGCACCAATGAAGGGGTTGGGGCTGGAAAATGTCAGTTTCAGATCAGCTCCATCCTGCAGGGCACGCAGACAGGCAAGGAAATGAGCTAGCTGATCGCCTTGCAGGTAAAGACACTGTGGAGGGCGGATGTCTACTGTGGAGGGTGGATGTCTACAGTGGAGGGCGGATGTCTACTGTGAAGGGCGGATGTCTACTGTGGAGGGCGGATGTCTACTGTGGAGGGTGGATGTCTACAGTGGAGGGTGGATGTCTACAGTGGAGGGCGGATGTCTACTGTGGAGGGCGGATGTCTACTGTGGAGGGCGGATGTCTACTGTGGAGGGCGGATGTCTACAGTGGAGGGTGGATGTCTACAGTGGAGGGCGGATGTCTACTGTGGAGGGCGGATGTCTACTGTGGAGGGCGGATGTCTACAGTGGAGGGTGGATGTCTACTGTGGAGGGTGGATGTCTACTGTAGAGAGTGGATGTCTACAGTGGAGGGTGGATGTCTACTGTGGAGGGTGGATGTCTACTGTGGAGGGTGGATGTCTACTGTAGAGAGTGGATGTCTACTGTGGAGGGTGGATGTCTACTGTGGAGGGTGGATGTCTACTGTGGAGGGTGGATGTCTACTGAAGAGAGTGGATGTATACTGTAGAGGGTGGATGTCTACAGTGGAGAGTGGATGTCTACAGTGGAGGGTGGATGTCTACTGTGGAGGGTGGATGTCTACTGTAGAGAGTGGATGTCTACTGTAGAGGGTGGATGTCTACTGTGGAGGGCGGATGTCTACAGTGAAGAGTGGATGTCTACTGTGGAGGGTGGATGTCTACTGTGGAGGGTGGATGTCTACTGTAGAGAGTGGATGTCTACTGTGGAGGGTGGATGTCTACTGTGGAGGGTGGATGTCTACTGAAGAGAGTGGATGTCTACTGTAGAGGGTGGATGTCTACTGTGGAGGGCGGATGTCTACTGTGGAGGGCGGATGTCTACAGTGCAGAGTGGATGTCTACTGTGGAGGGTGGATGTCTACTGTGGAGGGTGGATGTCTACTGTAGAGAGTGGATGTCTACTGTGGAGGGTGGATGTCTACTGTGGAGGGTGGATGTCTACTGTGGAGGGTGGATGTCTTCTGTAGAGAGTCGATGTCTACTGTAGAGAGTCGATGTCTACTGTGGAGGGTGGATGTCTACAGTGGAGGGTGGATGTCTACTGTGGAGAGTGGATGTCTACAGTGGAGGGTGGATGTCTATAGTGGAGGGTCGATGTCTACTGTGGAGAGTGGATGTCTACAGTGGAGAGTGGATGTCTACTGTAGAGAGTCGATGTCTACTGTGGAGGGTGGATGTCTACTGTAGAGAGTCGATGTCTACTGTGGAGGGTGGATGTCTACTGTAGAGAGTCGATGTCTACTGTGGAGGGTGGATGTCTATAGTGGAGGGTGGATGTCTACTGTGGAGAGTGGATGTCTACAGTGGAGGGTGGATGTCTACAGTGGAGGGTGGATGTCTACTGTGGAGGGTGGATGTCTACTGTGGAGGGTGGATGTCTACTGTGGAGGGTGGATGTCTACTGTGAAGGGTGGATGTCTACTGTGGAGGGTGGATGTCTACTGTGGAGGGTGGATGTCTACTGTGGAGGGTGGATGTCTACTGTGGAGGGTGGATGTCTGCTGTAGAGGGTGGATGTCTACTGTAGAGAGTCGATGTCTACTGTGGAGGGTGGATGTCTACTGTGGAGGGTGGATGTCTGCTGTAGAGGGTGGATGTCTATAGTGGAGAGTGGATGTCTACAGTGGAGGGTGGATGTCTATAGTGGAGAGTGGATGTCTACTGTAGAGAGTGGATGTCTACAGTGGAGGGTGGATGTCTACTGTAGAGAGTGGATGTCTACAGTGGAGGGCGGATGTCTACTGTGGAGAGTGGATGTCTACAGTGGAGGGTGGATGTCTACTGTGGAGAGTGGATGTCTACTGTGGAGAGTGGATGTCTACTGTGGAGGGTGGATGTCTACTGTGGAAAGTGGATGTCTACTGTGGAGAGTGGATGTCTACTGTGGAGGGTGGATGTCTACTGTGGAGGGTGGATGTCTACTGTGGAGAGTGGATGTCTACTGTGGAGGGTGGATGTCTACTGTGGAGGGTGGATGTCTGCTGTAGAGGGTGAATGTCTACTGTGGAGGGTGGATGTGCCCTGGACCAGGCTGATGTACTGAATGCTTTATGAGAAGCTACACTTAGTGAGAAACAAGTGATGACAGTAAACTATCAACTATGACCAGACTGCTAGAACAACATGTTAAAAAGGCGTATGGCCAGATAAGAACACTTTGCAGGAAGCCAAAGAAGAATAAGAAACCAACACAGAACTGGGGTCATCAGCTGCTACACGCTGCTTAATTTGCGAAGGATTGGATGCGAGCACCTGTGGATTGAATGGTTCAATGTGCAGTGAGGATTATCTGTAGACTAACTAACAGATTGACTGACTGACTAACTTACGAACTAACTATGTCCACTGGCATGAAACCGGTGCTTATTTTCTTATTCACAGTAAAAAGTATCCAAGTGACTCAACAAACCTGATTGTCATCCTTCAGAGCCCGTTTACACCAGTGCTGACAGGGAGTGCTGACAATCTTCACATTCAGCTGTTCATTATGCACATGCTCTTGCCACCATGACAGTTCAACAATGTTAGTCACACCACAATCGTGCATCCACTTCTTTAGCCCCATGGGAACATACCATCTCAGTTTGTCTCCATATCTGTGGGGGGCAGAATGCACAATGACTGATCTGATCAGATAAACTATGGTGATAAAATGTACACTGACCGACTCAATCGTGTCAATTATGGTGACAGAATGTTCAATGATGGACTCAGTCAAACCAACTTTAGTGATCAGTCATCAGTTCCTCATCTTCTGTGCTTCCTTGCTCACGCATCAGTCTTCTTAGATGTAGCACTTATGGTGGTAGCTGACGCTGCTGTGTTTTATTTATACACCATACCGTTCAGTCATTATAACGAGATACCAAAACCATTTAGTTATTCTAAAAAAAAAAGTAAAGATCCCTTTTCACGCCTTAGGCATATGGGAAGAGCGTCCCATATTTTTACAGACCAATCGGCACTGGGTGTAATGTGGTCAGCATTACGCCGGCCGTCTTTATTTCCACAGGACAGCCATCCTGGTACCCATTTTAGGCTGGGTCGACCTGCAACGCACCATACCATGATAAAAATCCACGCAGCAAGCAGTGAGTTTCGATCACGGTACGTTGGAAATACGAGTCGGTCTCGCAACACCTAAGCCACGGACGCCGCTATTCAGTTATTCTGCCATATGGCAAAACCATTCAATCATTATAACCATATACCAAAACCATCCAATCATTATAACCAGATACCAAAACCATTTAGTCATTATAACAAGATACCAAAACCGTTTAGTTATTCTACCGTATGCCTAAAACCATTCAATCATTATAACCGTATGCCAAAACCATTCAATCATTAAAACCATAGACTAAAACCATTCAATCATTATAACCAGATACCAAAACCATTTAGTCATTATAACAAGATACCTAAACCATTCAGTTATTCTACCATATGCCAAAACCATTCAATCATTATAACCATATGCAAAAATCTTTTAATCTTCTGTTCGAATCTTTTAGTAAAGAAAACAAGCATCATTGGACACATCAAAAACAAGTCAGTCAGTCAATAGCATATCCTTTGCAGAACTTTGCTCCCATAACAACCCTCTGGAAAACTTCTCGATCACAAGCAAGATGTCCCATGTCTGTTACACCCTTCTGGAGATCATCTGCCACATCCTGCACCCATCTTCTCCATGGCCTTCCTCTTCCTCTCTTCCCATGCATATAACCGTCTATTACTGTTCTCTCTAAACTTTCATAATGTTTCCAGTGACCAAAATATTTCAATTTTCTGTGTTTTATCGTCTTTATTAGCCAACCTTTTTCAGTATTCAGTTCTTGAAGTATGGATGCATTTGTTATTTTTTTTTTACCCATGATATTCTTAGAACCCATCTAAAACATTTGTATTCAAAGTCATTCATGCGCTTTACAAAAACAAGAAATAATCAAAATATGAAACAAACCTCATTCCATATAATAAAAACATGAAAGAATCAGAATATCCAAAAAGAAAAAAAACCCAATCCACATAATAAAGCACAAAAGAATCAGGAGATTAAACAGAGCTTGTTCAACTCAATAAAAACATAAATTTTTTTCTCCCTTGTTCGCCTTAAATGGGTGTTTTATCACTAAGCTGTGATATCTGTGCCTGGTGTTATAAAACCACCACTTTTAGGAAACCTCTAATTTCTTGTCTTTTATGGGAGGCTTGTTAGGGAACAGTTGGTCTATTCTTCTCCCCAAAAAATTGAGTCACAGAATCCACATGGAAAATATCAGGAAACGGAACAAACCTTTTGTTCAGGGCATGAACACTGTTGTAATCCAAATGATCATAATGGTTATGGCTGATGAGGACACAGTCAACTTCAGGAAGATCCTCAATTCTACAAGGTGGAGGTCGGTACCTCTTGGATCCAAATAGCTGAGATGGGGCACATCTATCGCTGAAGATAGGATCAGTCAGAAATGTGATGCCATCAAACTGGACAAGTGACGAAGCATGACCGATCCACATGTGACGGATACCACTGGCAGGTGAGGTGCTGAACTCTGAGAGGTCGGGGGTCATCACTGGTAAAGTTTTGTCAAGTTCCTAAAATACACAAGTAAGAATTAGAAATACTATCTCCAGCCTACTACATTTTGGGAGCCTTGATAGTATAGTGGCCAGATGCTAGTCTATCTGCCCAAAGGTTTTGGGGTCAAATCTGCAGTCGTCTCAAGCCAGACATTTGTCTAAAACAGGTGCTAGGTAATGTCTTGGGAAGTAAACACGGCCAGTGTGATGTTGACCACATTACCCATAGAGTGCCAATTGGTTCATAAAAGTAGGAGTCTAACATCATATGCTCGATGCGCCACCGCACACAAAAGTTAGTTGTGTAATCTGTACAACCTGGTGCAGAACCAACTCCATCATTTGTTGGTTGTTGTGGTTTTATTAAGCAATTTTTACACTCAGTTGTCTGCCACTGCTTTGTTAAAGGATCGGTCTTCTTGGCATCGACCCCCCCCCCCCCCCAAAAAAGGCCCCATCTCTAAAGGGTTTAGTGTCCATGTTTGAAGCTAACTAATAACATAATGTGGGCAAAAACACAGTTACGTAATACTTAAGATACATTTTCATTTATGAATGAATGACCCAACCCTGCTGTTGTTTATTTACATCTGCTGAATGAAGTTATCTTTAGACTTTCTTTAAAGTCACTCGAAAAGACTAAGCATCCACAAATCTGTCACAGGAGTAAAGATAGCAGACTACAGTTTATATTTATGTAAAATTACTGCCCTAGAGCAAGAGGCAGACCGAGAGTACGATGGATAGACAATATATCAGAGATCCTGAGGCAACACGGACTAACAACAACACGTGCAACACACCTAGCCCAGGATAGAAAACTGCGACTCCCCACTACGCTGTGAGGCAATTGTGGACAAGACAAGACAAGGTAAAATCACTAAGTACTCTAGTATCTTAAAAAAAAATTAAGGTCTACCTGTGAATCTGGAATTTTGGACTCACTCTTCGTCAGAAAAATAAACTTGAACAATCCTTTGAATGTTGTGTCTCGCCAAGTTTCCCAAGGATTACGAAAACGACCATTTTCATAAATGGGCTGTGTATATTCATCACCACAATCATTTATATGGTTCGTGCTTTCGTTCCTCGTCTCAGAACTCGCCATTCTGAACTCTTCCTTGAGTTCCTCTGCACTGCTGTTACCCCTTTACCAAAATGAGTCTAGCCCTAGCGTTTTGTTACTCCTGTACAAACGAGCGCTGGGTCCGCGTTATGCAAGCCTCAACAAAACAACACTCTCTTCGCCTCGTAATGTACCGGGAATCCCCATCCCATCTTACCACTGCCTAACATCTCTGTCAATTTTGGAACACCCCTGAGATATTAGACTGTCCCATGACTTTTGACTTGGGCGTGGGGGGGGGGGGTGGAAAAGGGGGGGGGGGGGTGGTGGGATTAAGTGTTAAGAATCCATGGTGCATTTACTTCCAGTCCTTTTTAGAATCATTTTGAAGACTGACTTTCTACCCCACTAGGACATCACACAAGCGATAAACACCCGATGACACAAAGTGCCAGCATGTGGATGAGAATCGCCGTGGAGAGGTCCTAGAAACCGCGTTCAGACAATTGGCCATATTTATGGCCTGCCTATATTGCGGCCCCTGGCAAAAGCCAGGGTGGGGCTTCAAATTACAAAAAAAAATTTTTCCTGAAAAGGACGAAATTGGTATACTCAATAATATCATTTTGAAGCCCTACTCTGGCTCTTGCCAGGGGCCGCAATATAGCCCGGCCATAAATATGGCCTAATGGCGAATTTGCCTATTAGAGCTTTAACTTCGTTAACTCACCAAGTAAAATGCTATCTCGCTTAGCAAAGCGATAAATAGGTCAGAAGAGCACAAACTACGTTAACTCTCTCACATTGAATCGCTAACTACGCTAACTCACCCAGTAGAGCGCTAACTACACTAATTCGCCAAGCATAGTGCTAACTACGCTTACCCGCCCAGTAGAGCTCCAACTGCGCTAACGTGCACAGTAGAGCGCTAACTTTTAAACTATAGAGTAGCGCTAACGATGCTAACTCGACCAATAGAAAGCTAACTCGAACAGTAAAGCGCTAACTACGCGAACTCACCAATTATTTGTGGCTGTGGCGGCTTTTCTAGACACATTTTTACATTGAGTAGTTTATCATTTTTCAGCTTGTGTGGCTTAGGCCTTGCGAACGCGCTTCGTAATGTCGGGGTGCCGGGTACGATTCCAGTTGTGGACAATTTGTCATGCAACGTGTATTTGACCGACTCAAAACAGCTGTCGGTCAAACCTTCTACGCAGCCATGCCTGTTATGAGATTCCTACGCCACCTGTAAAAGAACCAGTGTCGACGTACGCCAGATCCACGTCCGGCTGTATATTCAGTCCTGACAACTGAATCACGGTACATTTTCGAGGAGTCCCCCCAAAAACAGGTTACTTGAATCGTTTCCATGTTGCATTGTGTGACATTGTAATATGCTTACAAAGTCCTGTGTTCTAAACGTATTCGTATTACAAATCTACAAGCGGATATTGTGAAGTGGATATACAGCAATTTTTATTTTAATTCACGGCAGACAGTCGTGTTGTGATGTGTGTGTCACTGTTTCTAGTCACTAGTTTGGACTTTTAGGAACTGTCTGTTTATTCTTTTTCTACTTCGAATGTAGAAATCAAATTGTAAATAAATTGTGTCAAGATATTTCGGAGCTCTGGGTAAGTGCATAAAACTATATTGTTGACTAACAGTATAATTATATGTTGTAGAAGTATACTAATAATATTAATCCCTAACCATTTGACTGATGCTTCGCGGACACTGGCTGTAAACTCTTGAAACATCTGGTTGTTCATCCACTTTTCATGCATATTTGCAGTTGTACGGTCTGTGTTAATTTTTGTAAATTGGCTTTTTGCATCGCGGACACTGGCTGTAAACTTTTGCGGAAACTTCTGGTTGTTCATCCACTTCTTATGCATATTTGCAGTTGTATAGTCTGTGTTAATTTTTGTAAATTGGCTTTTGCATCGCGGACACTGGCTGTAAACTCTTGCGGAAACTTCTGGTTGTTCATCCACTTCTTATGCATATTTGCAGTTGTACGGTCTGTGTTAATTTTTGTAAATTGGCTTTATATCTATAGTTGGCCGTGGCTAGATCTAACTGTATATACCAATTTAAATGCATCTGTAACGCTGCATATGTGGGCAGAACTGATCGACGACTGGAGAAACGGGTTGCTGAACATATTCCACTATGGGCGGTAAAAGCAATGCAGAACACTAACACCTCAACAACAACGAATCAGGTGACTGGTCGACAAAATCCATCATCAGCAATTGGGTACCATATTCTAAATTCCAGGCACATCGTTAACAAGGATGATGCATTTCGAATTATTTACAATTCGGCCAAGCGTAGATTACTCCGATACGCAGAAGCTTACGCGATCAGCCGGTTGAAACCAGATCTCTGTAGGCAGAAAGAAATGGTCGTTTCCTTAAGGTTACCTTGGTGAAACAGACAGTGTAGAATGTACTCGAATTTGTGTTTCAGTTTCTAGGATTCAGATATTAGCTTCATTTTAATCACTTGTTACTGCAGTATGCACCTGACGAGATACAGCGAAATATGCCAGGCAATAAATTGTGCAGTCTATTGTTTGTGTCTTCTTTGTTCAAATGTGTCTTGCGTTGGTTTCGATAGTGGTACATAGCGCTGACCGCTCAGTGAGCAAGGGCAAACTACTAAGCGTAAAATTTGCCTAGAAAAACTACATCAGACAAAAAATGCTGTGGTTGGTTATGCAATGTCCTGTAAAGGATACGCAAATAACTTTTTAGTTGATTATTATCTGCACGGTCAGCTCTCTATGCCGCTGTCGAAGTCAACTCATGGCGATCTGCTGCCAAATCACCTGCAGCTGGGATCGAACCATGCACCTCTGACATTACAAAGCGCGTTCACAACGCCTCACCCACAGACGCCGACTGTATTAACAGTTAGAAAGAAAAAGACGTAAATAACTATATTTTGAGCGCATCCAGAAGAGAAGCGTACGGACAATCACTAAACAGGCACCTCAGTGGGAAGCAAATGAACAGAGGAAACGAGGACGCGCCAAAATCCTGTTGAAAAAAAGGGGGTGGGCAAGGGTCTGGAGAGGACTCCATCACTGACATTGAAAGGATTACACAGGACAGGATGTAGCGGGAAACTAGAACGTCAACCCTTAATCACATATAATGGCACAGCAGGTTGTCAAGGATAATCAAGATAATGCTGATGATGATTATCGATACCGGGCTGTAGGAACATCAGGGTAGAGTTTGGTATAACGCTTACGTCTGTCCTAGTTAGAATTTCTATCGAGTTTGCGTTCTTTCGTAATATCCTACCCAGATGACATCACAGGACAGTCCAACATTCTGGAGTGTTGTAAGACTGGGTTTCCCGGCTTTCTGATGCTTTTAGCAACCCCAAAACATCTAGAACTGGCCCGAACCCCAACCCACCTACGTACCATGCCATTGGTGTAGTCTCAAGTGTATTCAAACCTTCAGGCATCTGTAAAGTAAAGGGACCCTTATCCACGTCTCCAGGCGTAATGGGCATATCGGGCTAGACCTATATTCTATAGGCCACTCGGCATTTAGTGGGTGATATAGTTGACATCACACTAGTAGCCTTTACTTCCCCCACCCCTCAAAAAAAGGTCCAACTTCGACAGGACCCGAAGCCACTACATTCCCATCCGCAGACGAGTGTTTAGCAGCTACCCCAGGACAACCTTTCGGCGGCTACCTGTTTAACAAAAGGGTGGGGGGGGGGGGGGGTAGATAGAAAATATGGTCCTAGTTAAAGAAGGTTTGCTTCAAAAAAGAGAACACCACCCCCCCCCCCCCCTTTCCCCCCCCCCTTCCCATACCAAAAAAAAAAAAAAAATCCCCATTATTAAAGTACCAACTGTGGGTTTGTACTTTTACACTTGTTTTAAAATAAAGATAACTAATTAAGCGACTGAAGAAATATAGCACCAGACGATATCTAGCTAAAATAACGCACAAGTGATAAAGGAAGGATTGCACAATATATTATACAGACAAGACAAAACGAGAAGTAATAGGGTAAAGATAACACACAAAAGTAAGGATCCCCGGATAGACAACGCAAGAAAAGATAAGAGAAAGATGACACAAAAGAGTGACAGATCATGATAACACAAGAAGTGATAGTGGACAAACACACAAGAAATTTTATAGATACTGATAACACGAGAAGTGATAGAGGAAAGATACACAAGAAATAATATAGATCCTGATAACACAAGAAGTGATATCAATCCTGATAACACAAGAAGTGATAGAGGATAGATACACAAGAAATTTTATAGATCATGATAACACGAGAAGTGATAGAGGAAAGATACACAACAAATAATATAGATCCTGATAACACAAGAAGTGATATCAATCCTGATAACACAAGAGTGATAGAGGATAGATACACAAGAAATTTTTATAGAACATGATAACACGAGAAGTGACAGAGGATAGATACACAAGAAATAATATAGATCCTGATAACACAAGAAGTGATATCAATCCTGATAACACAAGAAATCAAAGAGGATGGATATATATTATCAGGAAAAGGTAATAACATTAGATAAGTAACATAAGAAGTATTATAGGAAAGATAACATATTGAATGATAGAGGGTGGATAACTCAAGAAACTATCAGGAAAAGATAATACAAGAAGTAGATTATAAAAAACATAAAAAGTAATAGAGGAAAAATAACTCTAGAACTGAAAGAGGGTAGATAACTCAAAGTAAAAGAGACAAAAATAAATAACGCAAGAAGTTGTTGAATGTTGGATGTTGAATTGAGAATCGACATTACATCACTAGGGACACTCCCATAAGTGCTCAGTCCCCATCTTCAGGAGCAGGTGAAGAGTTCCAATTCCGATGGTACCAGTAATCGTCTGATTGTATATCTGTCTCACCCTTCCCCTGAGTGTTGAGCGTCGGCCAGATCCCCTAATAACTCCTCTAGCGCAATTTTCCTAAGCATCGTCTCAGTGATTGGTTTGGGGTTGTTAACTGTCTCGAAG